GAAACGCTTTGAGTATTTTATTTATTTCATTTCGCGCCTGAATTCTTATCTTGGCCTCGATGTGTCAATGCCAATTGCACTGCGTTTGGACATTGTGAAAAAGTGATTAGGAAAACGGATTGATGCAGCGAGATTTGCGTGTGTGTAGGGGATGTGTGTGTGTGTGTTGGCCATRTTGCTATAGCCGGCGGCTGGGCACAGGCTGTTGCATATCATGGCCCGATTGGCTGCATGCGAAATGTGTTCCCGTTTAATTACACAAAACAAAAATTTTGCATTTCGCATACGCGATGCGAATGCCAATGCGAATGCGGTTGCATCCGATGCAATCAGAGTACCACAAGTTGCATGCCACGCACACACATTCACACATTCGTACACCGAGATTTGGCAACCTCCTCGTTGCAGCTGCAGTTGCATCTCATTTCGAAATGCTTGAATTGAGTGCTGAGTGGGCAGCTGCCACGGCTGCTTGTGGCATGCAACGGCAAACTGAGCTGCAACCAGTGCAGTGGCATGCCCCAAGCATGCGTACACTTATGTGCCACAATCTCTGCGGATCACAGGTGCTTTTTATCCGTATGCATTTTAAGCACAGGCTAGCCAATGCGAGCAGTTTCAATTAAGCGCACCTCTAGTTGATATCTGAAAAGTGGAAGAGGTGAGAAGCCATTGCATTGTCAATAGTTTCTCGATATTTGTCTAATATAGTTTAATTTAAAGCCATATTTTATGAATCTACTCGTATATTGACACTGGATTGGGCACCATATAAATTAGGCTGCATTTGATGAAAATAGGCATATCGATATATATCGGTTTTATAGCGGGAATAATCAATTACGATAAGCCAGATTTTTTTTAAATATTCTACATATTTCTTACAAATCGATATTGCTTTAGGAAATAATTGGTGAGCTTAAGCTGTTTAAATTTTAATATATTTTACATAGTTTGAGGTCTTCTTTAAGCTGAATATCGATAAAAATCGAATCTCTATTTCAATATATTTTATGTGTTTTAACTTATTTATTTATTTAACTATTTATGGAAAGCTAAAATGAATTTCAGCATATTGAATATATTTACTACAACTTCTTCATATACATAAATCGAAAACATCGCAAGAAATCGATAAGGAATAAAATATTCCATTTTATGCCAGATAGATATAAATAAATTCTTTTCGTTTCTATATTATATTTTTAATTATTTATTCTGTTTTACT